ATGTATGGTTGTGTACATGAATGTTTTAAAGTGTATGCCTACCTGATCACTTTTAGTCACATTTGGAGGAACATTTGGTGGTTCTACAGAAATGGAAAAAAAAACAACACATAAAAATGCATTAAAATTAGTAGGACAACATTTATACATGTATGAAATAACTACAGACCTATAGATCATTGTTTACTACAGTTCGATGTAACAACGATCAACACAACTTATTTTAATCATATAGCGCCACTGCATTTACTATTGATGATAATGATTTGATAACAAAAGTAGTTCTCTGGAGCAGTGCTATAGTAACGACCGCCCGCGCGCGCGTAAACAATGGCATATCGAGAGGTACGCTTATACACATCTAGATGTGTATAAGAGACAGCCCCCACCCCGTTGAAAGTGTTGGGGAAAAAATCAGGCTTAGTTAAAAATCACCTCAAATCAACTTATTTTGCGCCCCACCTAATCATCACGGGATCACTTTTATTTTCGCGCGGCCGTCGCACGACAAATCCATCTCTGCGCTCTCTGTGAGCGATAGACGACACAACGCCGTCTGCTGATTGTCAATAGCAGCAAAGAACTTAAATAGCAGAAGAATGAGCTGTTCCGCGTATTTGCATTAAAATCGATGGAACATCCGCCCTCCTGCGGATGCAGTAAAATTTGAACATTTTACTAAGTGGAGAAACTACAGGAAACAAGCGAACCAGAGCGGCGCCTTTATTATTACTATATAGCGCCGCAGCGCGGATGCAGTAAAATTTTTCTCCGTGTACGCACAATGCATTTCAACCGGATGTTCCACTATTTTGGGAAGCTGCTCTATCTTCTGCTATTTATTATCTTTGGTACCGGTAGCAGTCGGATCGTCATTAAAAACGATCCATTGCGCACGCGTCGTCGCGTTAGAATCGACCGTCTCGTGCGCAGTGGGTGCCCGGTTTTAGTGAGCTGATTCTGTTGTGTTTATGAAATTAATTCATATTCGTAATAGGAATTTAAGGAAACATAACTGATTGAATTGGTGAACTTCTTTCCGACGTTTAATTATTGAATTATACGATAGAAAATTCTAAATAATTTGATTAGATGTGTTTGAGCAAAATACTAAATATAGATAGATTTTGGGTAAATATCGGAAGCTAGGCACTATATATAAATGTATGTTGGAATTTCTTCAAATCCAATGTCATCACGACTTGATGGACCTGCATGCTCCATATTGGTGTTGTTGCAGTTGTCAAGGCAGGTGGTGCAGTGGTATGGTATGGCTCTTGGTTTTAATCAAGAGGTCGGGTTTCGAATCTGAGGCTAGTTACTTGTTAGTGTCCTTGGGCAAGGCACTTCATCAGCATTCTCTCCACTCAAAAGTCAAATAGGCCTACCTGTATCGGTTACCCTACATGCTACGCGCTGAGTATGACTGTACTAACTGACTGTTCTTAAGGATATGGACTAAATGTCTGGGGGAGGGGAGGGGGAGGGGTTTAATGATACTGTGCACTTGAAAAAAATCTAGGGAAACAGTGTACGTACATTGACAACAATATTCAACCATGATAACCAGGCCTATTGTTAAATGCAGTTGTGAATATTAATTACTTGAACTTCAAAACTTTACCAGGTACAACACAAAATGGTTTAACCGCATGAAAAACACCCGTGTATTTACCGTTATAGAAAGTATACTGTACGAGGCCTAAACCCATGATAAAATAGGTGTAATTACCGTTAAAGAAATTGTAAGGTAAGAGGCCTTAAACCTCGGGGCCATGATAAAATACAGGTGTAATTACCGTTGTAGAAAGTATATAGTACGAGGCCTTAAACCCCATGATAAAACACAGGTGTAATTACCGTTATAGAAAGTGTAAAGTACGAGGCCTTCAAAATTAATAAAAATCAAAAGCAGAGTTACGAAGGGAAGATTCATCCAAATTGACCTGCAAAATAAGAAAACAAAAATCAAATTACAGATCACATTCGCCAGCATTTTCTTTTACAACATGAAACACTAAATAACAAATGAGAATTCTCTAACGTTAAAAAGAAACATTTTTATTTTAATATTTAATTAGTTGGTATTAGATTGGATAGGCATAAGATGATCATGGATTTGATGTTCCATAATGTCTTTGCTGATAGGCTTAACCAGAAACGGCTGGGCTTAAATATAGCCTATGAGTATCGTTAATAAGATTGGATAAATCACTGTCCATAACATAAAAACAATTTACGGAGGTTGCCAGTAGTTAAAAATAACTGAACTGAATCCAATCCACTTCCTGTGTATTTACAGACCAACCGAGATACATTTTCAACCTTTTCAGAAAATCCGGGCAAACCGGGTTAATCTTGTCAAAGCCAAATCCAAGTCGATGTTTTGTACCTCGGATAAAGCTCATTCATTTTGTTGAGCGTGCCTTTAAAATTGATTAATTTTAAATGAAATCAGTGAATATGGCTTAATTATAGGTCTAAGCTAAATCTTGGCTAAATTGAAAAAAAATACACGAGAATGCGAATCTAACGTCAACAACAGAGATAAACAATCAAAATAACGTTATTTGGATAGGCAGATTCTGCTTCAACTTTATTATGGTTAAGCCGGCTGATTTTTTTTATATTGCACGAAAGATTGTTTACAGGATACCGTAACATTCGTTATAAACTTTTATGATACACATATCTAAACAAGAGTCAGTTTTCGCTGATTTTCAGATTATGTACTACGAAAATGTCATTGTTGTTCATTGAAAATAAAAATATTTTCTCATTTTAATTTTCAGTTTGAAATCTAAAACTATAACACTAATATTCAGGTAAAGCAATCAAAATATTGTATTCGAACATGGAAATCCTGCAACTCATGGATTCTAAAATAAAGCACCAGGTTACTACGATCAGTCAACTTTCAGTGTTTATAAACACTGTAACTTACATTTGAGCATCACGTATACTTTTTGCTGAAAGAAATCGTTGAACAGCAGTCTGGCTCACAGCCCACATCGGAAGTGAGTTCATAAAACCACCGATCACCAGGTTGAGAAATGTCATGCGCTGAGTTGGATCCCAGGGAAACCTAAATTAAAAAGCAAAAAGAAAAAAAAAGTTTTATGCATACACAGTACCGGTACATTACACGGTGGAATTTGGGGTATCTTTCTGAAGTGTCAATCAAACTTAAGAACCAATCAGAACTAAGCAGGAACACGCGCACGTCCCACACAACACACGTTCAATCGTTTTGTGGGACCTTCGCAACAATATCCAAGACGCGGTGCTTACTGCAAAGGTCAATTGATGATGAAAAATGTTGGTAGCACTGCACTTTTAATAGGTCTACTACTACTGGATTCAGTGGTCACTGAATTAAGACACTTACTGTATCAAATCAAGTCGATCGTCTTCTTTATTTGTCTCCCACACGTGCGCCACTCCACCAGCCTTCATAACACCTGTAATAATCACCATCAGTGTTGTTCCAAATATCACTACGAACATGATTACGTCAGTCCAGATAACAGCTTTCATCCCTCCCTAAACAATAAGGAATACACGTTAGTTTGATTGAAAACAGTAATGAACGTGAGCGCACGCGCGTAATCACGTGTAGGTGAGTATACCGATAAGATAATGGTTCACTAAGCGCACCCTCCAATTCGAGACACCTCTGATTCCGCGATCCCTCTAATTCAAGACCCCTGTTTCAAATAGATCATCGTCAGTATTGGAGACCGAAACCCGGAGACCACCCCAAATTTTCAGGTCCCAAAGTGGTCTCAAATTGGATACCAGCTGTAGTTAAAAACCTGCACGCACGGGCGCACTCATGTATATGGTAAGTAGTCCTCCATACCTAAAGCAATTCTATTTTGTATGTTTTATTTCTTAAAACTACAACTCCATTCGTCCGCACAGGTGGAAAGTTAACTCTCAATGCAAGTATTTTTTTTTTTTTGAAAATGTTAATGTTTCCTTGAATAATTGCTTGTACAGATTGTGATAATTGTAAATTTTATTGTACCCTATCTTATGTTTCAGGGGCTGCGGGCACTTGTGGTGTTATAGCTGACGCAGCCCCTGGGCCGTTTGTGGCAGTAAAATAAATGAAATGAAATGAAATATAAACAGTTTATGTTGCTGGTGCGTGTAGGAATGTATACGGTAGCTATTCTGAGTTTTTTTTTAATTTCAGTTCACATTCACAACATCGGGAAGCCAGTGCGCGTTTTTAATGGAATACATTATAGCATAATGACGTATGGGCCAAAAAGTGCATGATAAAATATAAGAATAAAATATTAGACATCAAACAATACGATTGACCCTGAGTAGAGATGGTAAACAGAGCAGTGGCAAAAGATTTGGGTTCGCAACCGAAAAACTGGAGGTCCGACGCCTTGTTTATATCCGTTTTCGAGCAACGGTGTTTTATCCACGTTCGTTGCAACATTGGGTGTTCCCATGAGCATAGAAACCTTGGCATAACACCCTATTAGGCTAATAGTATGCTGGCCTATAATAATACTATGGGCAATATATAGCATAACATTCGTGTATATGCGCTTTTCATGGCAGAAAACCAGAATACAGTAAATGTTTGAAATGGAAAGAAAGTGGTAGGAAAAAATTACACTAAATAGGCCTAAAGGAAAGTGAAAAGCACAGGAGAGTGGAGGAAAATTAGACATTCATTAATGTTTACCCATTAATATATTTCGTCCGAATAATAACATGGGTGTTCCTGTATGCTGTTTGGACCACCGTGTGGGTGGAACCGCATGTGGGTTGGGAATTCGACCATGCCCAAACCTCTAATTCACTTTAATAGAATAGGCTATAGTAATCAATGCAGAAAAGTGTTAATGAAATACAATAACAAAAACTTAAATGTTTTTAAATTTCCGGTTGAATCACCCATAATACCTATTCCCTGTCGTTGGCCCACATTCTGTCTTGTTTATGTTGGATAATGCTAATATACTCAGATGAAACGCGTTCGATATCCTATATCAATTATTATCTGGCGCCTGGGTGTCAACAGATGGTCCGGAGGTCTGTGCCAAATGTCGGAGATGACAGATTCGACATTATGTGACTATCGATTAAACATAAGAAATAATTAAATTTGATTATATCTGTAATGGTGTCTCTGATAAACGAACAAACTTCGAGTGACGACAAACTTGGTATTTATTTCTTTCCTCGTTTTCTATTTTCTTTCAAATTGTTTAAATGGTTTAACATTTGTAAAGGGCAAAACATATTTATTTTAATGTTTCTATCTGAATGTATCTTCAATCTTAACTTGTGATACCTTTTAGTTATTTCGTTAATTAAACAATATTTTAGTCTAACAGTTAGGATGATTTAGGCAGCGTTTTTACAAAGAGCAACAAACTTCAATTTAACAAATATAAACGTGAGTTTTCGTGTGTCAACGCGTGAAGTAGTGCCAGATGACGCCAAGTTGCTGACATTGGTTTGATGATCGTAGTTCATTTCGTACAGGAACAGTTTTCTTCTTTTCCATGGTGTTAAAACTTTTTGATAAGGTAACGCTTTATTTCGATATTTTTTTCAAGAAAATTTTCTCACAAAAGTAGTGTATCACTGAAGGCGGAGCCTACGGTATAAACGTAGGCCTAAGTGAGAGCTCCAATTTAATCAGCTTTTCTGGATGGGCTACCCTCCTTAGGCCTAAATATGTTTTTTTTTTTAAATAAATTAATGTTGACCAATTCGAGATCTGGAAATCATTAATACAGTTCATCGTCATATTTGTTATCACAATTTCTTCTATTTCTTGTATGTACTTTGTAGGCCTATCTTTGCTATAAGGTGAAAGGTACACCAGTGTACTTCAATCATAAAGATAAAAAAAATCAACGATAAATGGTCTTTTCCGGAGTGTCAATAAATTAAACAACTGACCAATCTGAACAGCGGCAGGAATACGCGCGTGTCCAACAAGCACACGTGTTGTGGGACCTTAGCAACAATATCCAATGGGCGGGGCTTAGAAGAATGGTCAATTAGAAGGGGAGGGGAAAGGGGCGCAAGGTATAATACGGTTCATTAACCTTTTCTAAGCCCGTTATCTATACAGACGGGATAATCTATCAAGGGTGCAATAAAATAATATACTGATGGACTGAGTAAACAGCATATTAATGGCCATAGCCAACAGAAACGAAAATTCGTATTAGGCAACTACAAGGGCAATACTTTTCCGTAGGTGGTTTGTTTGGGTTTTAGTGCTGTGTGTTTTCGTCTTTGAGTGTCTTGTTTATAGAGAGAACTTCGAACTTTTCTCACCATAAACACCAAGCAAAATGATTGATCTAAACTAGTCGAGTAGGGCCCAAAACCCATAATAAACATGCGTAGGATGGTTATCAGATATGGCATGGGCTTTTTATTGTAAAGTATGTTGCATAGGCCATGGTAATGAAATTATAAATGTATCGTTAGAGGGTGAATATTCAAAAGTTTGGACAATAATATTGTATATATGAACACAGAATGCAGAATCTAGTAACCTGAACATCAGTCTACGTAGCCTACATTTCGCGTCGCACGCAGTCACACTAGTGCACTCAGTATTTTTTTTTCATTTTCATTAAATTACTGGCTCTAAACTGCGGAAAGCAACTTGTTAACTGAAGGTTAACCAGAGAGTTGTTAGAATAACAACTCCATGGGTTAACTTTAAAACAAATCTCACCCACGATTTTAAGCATACCGATTTGTACTGGTCTATAAAACAAGGTCATTCATTGACCGATCAATTAGCACACAGGTCAAATCTTGGTCAAATGAATTCCATTGACTGAACTTGGCCTGACGCGTCATGCATGGGGTCTCGTAAGTACACTTCGTGACGTAATATTTTATCACCTTCAATGTATTTTTGTAGACGTTCGTCTAGTGGCGTGTCACATGCCCTATTATTTGTGTGTGATACATTTAGCCACAGAACACAGACGGATGCATACGGGCTCACTAGCTTAAAAGCGTGGACTGTTTTCATCTTTAACCCTCATCCATGCTTTAACAATGGAGAATGCTAAACATACCATGTAAAGACGATCATAAAGCGGCTTGTGTAAAATACATTACGCCATCACTTGCCACAGTTCAAGGAGAGACCGTGAGCGGTTAAATGTAACGTTGTAGTTGTGTATTTGACCTTGTTTTTAAAATCCAGTCTGTCTTAGAAACATATTTAACCAGATGAAATTGAATGAATAAAGGAAATTGTTTTTGTTTCTTAAGGTCGAGTTTACACCAATCACATTGTTTTCTTGTCAAATTCATAATTATCGATATTATTAATATCATGTAGTCTGGCAGACAGCGTACAAAGATACAATCTTCAGTTAACAGAAATCAGAATGATCTGTACAGGCCACTCCTTTTCCTACTGTTAAATCACTTACGAAGATATACAAGCATTTTTAAATTACATGAAATAAAAGGAAACAAAAGAAATAGTATAACAAAGGAGGGACTCATATAATAACAAGGACAATTTTAACTTATTTAACAAAGAAATTATGGGGCTCTTTTATGTTGTTTCAAGATAAGGTTTAAGAATACAAAAAAAAATACGAAAATAAAGACAGCCTATACCGCCTGCGTTGGGTGTACTGTCAGATCAATGAAAATGGATTTTATGGATTGATTATAACACTGTTTTTTATATCTAATCCGTTAATCGGCCTAACAGACAATACTCATATCAAATTAGTATACGCCGTGAATAATTAATCCTCTTTTGAAGGATTTGGATAAAGTGGTAATTACTACACCCGCCAGCTCCAACCATAGAGAAAATTGTTCTATTTTTTCTATGCTCCAACCCAGACTACTAGACATATCTATAAAGTTATATTTACACGTCTCAGCGAACTTAAAGGTACAACTGTGTTTATGTCACGCATGTTTGTTTACTTACTAATGACGTATAGAAAGTACACACTATTCCACCAATCAACATCGTCTTCCATAGATCAAAACTCGTTACTAGCAAAACAAAATACAAAAGTAATTTTTATCTTACTGCAAGTAAAAATGTATTTGATTGATGATTGACTGCTGTAATGATGTGTTACGTATTTATAATCATTTATTGTTACCATGCCATTATTAATGTGTTAGTAAGTAAGTGTTCTTTACACACTCTTGTGGCGTTAATACAAAATATCGTTCTCTATTAGCATCGGTTCATTTCTAGCATGATTAATACAATCATTGGGCCTAGTTTACCGATACTTATTCAATGTTGATAGGAAAAATTCTTTGGAGACTAGCCTTTCTAAAACTTATAGAAAACTTCAAATGGGTAACAATAATATGATTAACCATGTTACTTGCAACTGCTCTTTTTTTCTTTTCTCTCCAAAAACTTACCAATCAACCGTATACGTTCTAGGCCAAGGGCAAAGTTCTTTATAGTGAGAGACATAATGACCCTGTGCGTTCAAGTAGAACTCATCATCTATTGTAGTTTGTGAATTACAAAATAACAATTCTACCAATACAGACCTACACGGTATTGAAAATCTTATGCATCAAAGGGGACGGGGTATAAAGTGACAATGCATTGCTTATAATATCATGATGCTATAAAACTTACCAACTTCGATGGCTAACGCAGGTGAATACAACACTATAGCCATGTAGAAAGCCGTTTGTAGCATAAATATAAAGGCGCCAGCCATTTGAAGTGGTACTCCGAATCGTAGTTTTAAATACTGCAAAGTAAACATCATTCCTTTTATTAATATTATCAAATATTATTTTCACTAATATGTTTATATCCTGCCATAGTAAAAAAAAAAATACGGTACCAATGGTATAATGGATATTCTGTCATAGTAAAATGTAGGCTTACACTCTTCTATTCAGACAATGGTTTCTTTATAAAGTGAACAGGAGTGGATTAAAACCTCCTCCATAAAACATGGCAAGGATGTAGAGACCTGAAATAAAGAGTAAATTTTCTTCTATTCTATTTGTTTATATAATGAGAAGAATATGATCCACCACCACACCCCAGACACACACAGGATTAGGTCTAGACAGATTACTTGTTGATTTACGAAAAAGAAAAAATTGATCGCCCAAAATTCCTCTAAGTTTCGCGGGGCCATGCCCCCGGACCCTCTGGGTATTATTATCTCGATCGGCCCAACTTTCGCCCCCCCCCCACTTTTTTTTTGGACATCTTTGAATCCGACCCTGTGTATCATAGATGAACAAACATATTTTACGTCTAATAGTCGTTTTCCCTCCCCTTTAACTTTCTTCTCTCTTGGTTTCTAACCATCATTCATAACACATTGCATATTGCATAATGATAGGTTATGCATTAGTCCTACATAGTACGTGGACGTGGGATGGACTGTGCGACGATGACGGAAGCACACATTTCTGTTCAATTTTCCCACTTGTTGAGTTCGTCATCACCATAAGAGTAATCATGTCGGGACATTGATGGGCCCTTACAAGGCGCCGAGATCATATCATCGCGTGCTCACCCAGACAACCGGTATTGTCAGTTTAGGCGTCTTCCCTCACTAAGGTCAGCGAATTCCGACTTATGAAATTTAACATTAGTCCTATAATCTCACGGTCATCGATTTCTGATTACAGAAAATTTAATTCGAACGTATATCCACACTGAAAATTATCTTATTATATACGGTTCATCGTACATGTAAAATTAAGGGCTCTCAATTTTTCCAGCCTTAGTTTTAAAGAATAAAACGAAATAAAAAACAGAAAGACGGGCGATATTTTTACTACTATCCATTTTCCTTGAAAACAAGGTTTTTCTATTGCACGGTGGACTTACAGCTACCCTATTAGTATATTAGGCTTATCACAAATTGATACAGAATTGGTATCACTAGGCCCGGTGGGTTGACCCGCAGGCTTAAAATGTTTTAACGTTGGTAAACCAACCGTCAGTTCAAGGTCGGGTGGCAATTCCAAGGAAAATGTAATTTAGATTTTAAAATCCAATTCTACAATCCAAAATGAATTTCACTTGCACCAACTGAACATTTGCAGTTTATATAGGCTTATACTAATTCAGATGAACCCGAAAAATAAACGTAGAATAACAAAAAACAACTATTAGGCCTACGATACGATACGATTTATTGGGTTCACTTTTAGATCAGTGGCATCCATCATTTAGATGGTGCACCCATTAACAATATATAATATAAGCAAAGGAAAGCAAAAGACAGTTCAAAAACAACAAAAGGATAAATAGCCTAACAAAAACAAAACCAAGCAATTTACAGTAAAATTTTACCCTTATTAGTATATCTAAAAAAAAAAAAAAAAAAAATCTTACTAAAATATAGTAAGTAAACTGAATGAAACACACTGAGCTGCACAACAACCTGTACATAGAAGTCGTGTGAAGTTACCGGATTATGTATTTATTTTTTTTAATTTATTAATTTTCTTTTTCCACGGACCAGGGCAGAATCAAAGTCAAATTCAGTATAATATTACAGGTTCTTGTAATGTACAGCTCATTGTGTTTCATCCAAGCAATATAAAGGTATTTTTTACAATATCTATCGAAGATAAAACTTGCATCATTGTAATCAGAATCAACCAAATTGTATTTAAGAGGAAATTCATTATGGATAGACAGGTCATCAAAGAAAAGATGGTGTCTAAAATTTGCTAAACTTGAAGTAAACATATCCCAAAATATATCAAGGTTGTATTCATTAAGTTCAATTTTAAGTTCCTGGAAAATTGTATCTCTAATATTGTGAAATTTACAGCATTCAAAAACAAAGTGATCTACTGTTTCTTTACAACGACTTTTACATAATTTGCAAAGACCTGTGTTTACAGTTGACCAGGATGGCCTATGTCTCTTAAAACATATTGACCAACACTGTGTCATGGAAGTATATTAAGGACCAATAAAAAATATTAGTTTATCACCTTGCGCGCATGTCTTCTATGGTAATTGATAAAAATATTAAGAAATATTGTTTTTTAACATTTCTTTTATTTATTTATTTTTATTTTTTTTTGAAAAAATTATAATTTTTTTTCATTATTTTAGTAAATAGTTGTATTATCTCGAATCATGTTTTACTTTGAATATCAATGCACAAGCAAACAACCCATGGAGGGTGATATTGGCTTACCAAAATAAAAAATAAGAGGTGATAAACTAATAATTCTTTTTATAGGCTTAACTATAAACATTCCTTTCCATTCAAACGGTGTTACGTGGAGCTTTCCTGTTTATTGTGGGAGTTGTTGACAACAATTGTAGTCAAGGATATAAAAAGTGAGAGGTTCAATGATTAAAATATTTTATTTGTTAATTGAAGTACTTGGTATCAAAAGGTGCACTGTACTGTAACTTTAAAGTGCAGCCGTACTACGCCTAATCGCGAAGGGAGGATACAGTAATGGTTTTAAATTTTAATTGTCACAAAAGTGGTTTTCACACAGAATGAGTCACGTTTCTTTTAGTAATGAAAAGGTATTTTGTATCCAGTAATTCTCTCGCATCTTTCCCCCTCCCAGCCTACTCTATATCTAAAATTCATGCTCGGGCAGGAGAAATATCGGCCGAAATCTCTTACTTCATGCACTGGGAGCCGAATTCACTGGGATTCGGACCCTTGTTGGATGTTGGCCTAGAGAGCAGGGAGGGAAGGCCCAATTTGGGGAAGGGGTATCTTTGACGCCGCATACTGTACTGCAAAAACTCATATCTAAATTATTTCTGGCATATGACCATAAATGTGTTCAGCTCAAGTGCATAACTGCGATTATGATCAGAAACACACCCAAATCATTGTAAGGAATTAATCAAGAGGAACAAGTCGTGTTCAATACCAACAAAGCTTCTTGATACGAATGCGTTATGGAATTTATTTTTTACGACAACCACAATAACAACAATTAAATGGCAATGACCCTCACATTTGACTTTCAAACGTTTGAATACACATCCAAACTGTATCATAAGACACCACGGGCACGATTTTATGTTACGTGCAGTACAACAGGAAACACCTTTTTATTTTTATTTGATATGTGTTAATATGAGGCAAAATCCCCCGACGCTACATTCGCATCGGATCCGAACGTGAATTCGGACCGCGTTTCCGAAGCTCTGAACGTCAGCGTCCAATTTGCACACTGATTCGATTTTCGGATCGGTTTATAGTCTTCCGATCCGAAAATTCGGATTCGGTGTGAATGCCACTTAACACAGTATGTGCCAATCCTCTCCCGCTCAGGAAAGGAAAAAAGAACTGTCAACAATCTGAAAATATATTTCAAGAATAATAAAATTGAGACACAAGCAAAAGAGAGTGTTTAGTGATAGACCTATATAGACACAATCTGTCAGTTCATGATGATCAATACTGGTAGTTGTTTCCAGCATATAATTGATAACAATGTCCTATATTTACACAAGAGATCAATAAGAAAGATACAATAACAGACGATACTCGATGATGAAATCATGTTGGTATTTTAATATCGTTCAGAATATTATCTTATAAGTTACCACAAAGTTTAGCTTGGGTATACACATTAAATTCCCACAATTCACCTTAGCTTGGTAACCACATAATATAATATATTATGTGGTTACCATGCTAAGGTGAATTGTTATGTGGTTACCAATTGTGGGAATTTATTATATTGCTTTGTTGTCTTTTATTTTAGAATATCCCCTTCCCAATTAATCCCTGTCAAGTGACGTAACGTAAACATGTGAGATTTATTAACACATTAATGTATACGTCTGTTTGCTATAAAATGCAACACATGTTAGCATTAGTATTGATAAAAGTTATACCGTAACCTATTAATAATATAATTAATGGGAGTAACATTCGGAACAACCGAAACACCGGCTTGGCTGGCCACGTGACAGGAAAGGCTATGTGGTGGTTAAAGCTAGAATCCTGTTTCAATTGATAAAGATCAAAATTATATTTCAAATATATAATAGAGATTGACGGATTGATTGGCTTAAATTATAAATATGTCTCACATTATTAGGAGCTCATAAAAAATGGTGCTACGTTTTGAAATAATAATAGCATCCGTATTCCTGTTAATCATCATTATTTATATCGTCTAAAATCATTTTTTGTTGTACAGAATACGTACATAGTAATTAGGGATAGCCCACAATAATATTTCTACTGTTATTTAATAATATATAAATAACATCCTTCTGAGCCTAATCCCCTTGTGATGCAGCGTTTAATCTCGTTGAGATTGTGACGCACCGATTCAGTGACATTAGTCAAGAGTTACACATAGTGACCAATTCAATTTAAAAAAAACTTTTTTTTTTCATCCAAAATAGAATAATGTACCACAATATTATAGGCCCTATGGGACTGCCCTTAAAATTTGGTTTCCATACAATCGCTACACGCTATCACCCGAAAGCTTTCGGTGATGCTCATTGGTTGGTAGACGCAGTAAACGATTGCACTGAAAACACTGCAGCGACAGTGTAGCGATTTTAAGGAAACCAGACTTAAACATACATCAGATTGGTACTGTAAACGCCATTGGACCCTTTTTATACTTCGAATGTAATGTTGTTGTTCTTTCGTGTTTCATTGAGTATTCTTACCTCATATGCACTTGTAATCTTTAGTCCATGAAAGACTGGAATGAATATAAATGCGATTGATGGAAACAGAAGAAGATGGCACAAAATGAAAATGAAGTACTGGCCACCATATGTGTAGATTTCCGCTGGTTTTCCGAGAATCGTAATCGGTGATATAAACGAGGCCAAGAGGGTCATAGCAATCGGTATACTAAACATGCTACGATCCGCAACCAGAAACCTTTAAGATTGAGAAAAATATAAATAAGCACCTTATCTGCATATACTTTTTTAACCATATTTATAGAGGGTGACCCTTCCAGCGTATCGTATTATTAGGTCGATTTATTCAGGGACCCTCTTAAATAAATGAAATAACGTAAAAAAAGCCCTGTTTGTGACAGGAATTGAACACAGGACCCTGGGATTAGAAGAGAAGCATCTACCACTAAGCTATTTAACTCCACGCAACTCCATGTTGTTGTTTGAAGCATTGAGGTATAAAGTACTAGTCTTAGCGGTAGCCTAGGTTATTAACTTGATCATGGGTTCCAGTGCACTTAAATAATTCCTGAATGATTAACTCCCCTCCTGCCTCACAGGTCGGGCTTTCTTATCCATTATTTGAGTCTGAAATAAAGTTGAAGGTATTATTGGTACAGCAAGGGGCTTTAGGCCTATATACAAGAGAGAAATACAATATTGGCCCTATTAATATTAATTTTTATGTCTCTGAGTGAACGGTAGCAACGTTCTTTATGTGTTTTGTTCGCAGACTAGCGCGGCTGCCATCTTTAATAAGCAAGGACGTAAATTATTCAACATATCTTTGTGATTTATAAGCTACTAACGCAAAACATGTAACATATCATAAAATTATGTAAACTGTCGTCTACCATTAACACTTTAAATTTAGGCTTATATAACGTTTAAAGAATTATTTTTAAACGTTTCACCTGCCTATGACGTACAGTAAGCTCACACTGGTCGTTTTTCCATCGCCCAACAACCCACCCTCTACTAAGAAGATGAAAAGCAAAACACGTATGTTTGAATGCCTTATTATCGGACTTCGATCGTTTCGTTGGTAAACAAACATGCTAATCATTATAAAATTGGCGCAGCCTATAAGCTTTCGAAACCATAAACCTGTTGTAGCATTCATAATTAGGGGAAAATAAAGAAATGCAAAATGTCCATATAAAATCCGCACAATGACATCAATACAAATTTACAGAGATATTTACTAATAATATCGATAATGTCCAAATATACTTTAATTATAACAGCATATTCCTGCCATTACATTATGCCTGTATTGATTTCTTTTCGTTATTCAACGTGTTTGTTTTTATGTTTAAATGTCTGACGTCACTGGAAGTTGCTGCTTAACTTCAGTATCCATGTGCTCCATTCGAACATCTTTGTATATATGGCTATCAACAATTCTGTTTTCATCTTGATATGACCAATATATTTTTTATGATAGCTAGGCTATATTTGTAATTTATATCGCGTGTGTTTGTATTTTATCTAATGTATTTGCATATATTTTTAACTGTTTTCAAACGGATACCAAAATAAAGAAATTAAACAGAACATATAAATCATATTTATATTGGTCATATACCTGTACACTAACAGGCCTCTTATAATTTACATACTGTATCGTTTGCAGTTATCTTTTTGAAAATTAATTTAACATTAATAACATATGTCCCATAATAGTACTTAATAATTAATGTTGATATATACGGTACTAATGCTATACGGTAACCACTCAATCAGTCGATCACTATTCACCTGTTACCAAAATTATAATCTCTGATTGGTCGTTAACAGAAGGTTGGGAGTAGGTGTGACTGAATTTCAAGCTGGGAATATATTTGTTATTCAGTCATGTAAACAATGCTTCACGCAAAAATCAATACGTCAAAGAAATGATTATATCTTACAATATCAAGAACGATATTCGGGCTAACAAAACACGGACTGTCGATTTCTGGCAACCTGCCAAAATCCTATTTGGGTGTCGTCGTCAAAACTCCGGGGTCACGTCTATGTGCTTAACATATTATCTACGTGGATGATTTCGTATTAAAACAGGTTTAGTCTAGTTTATGTAGAAGGGAAAGCGTATTAAAAATGGACAGCAGTACCACATTAATTCCCATGACGTATGGACAGTACCGTACTATCACATTAATTCGTATGACTTCATGTTTTAGCTCTATGTTTACCACGAAGCAGTTTACTAATACTGGCTTCATGTGATCATAAGCTACTGTACATAAGTTCAAATAAGTGCCAAAAAGGAAATAACAAGCTCTCCCTGTTGGGGGCTTCGTTACTAGGCTTAATTCTATTACTAGTAAGACCAGGGGGTTGTTCTAACAACAACTCCCTGGTAAGACTAAATATACTCAAATAATACATAAGCCACAGTACTATTTTATCGAACGTTGTTATAAATATTCATGCCCCACCCAAGTATTTAAACACTATAACAAATATTATATACAAAACAAACGAAGTATTTTTATGGAAATGAAAATAAAGAAACAGTTTTTATTCAGTTGCAAGTATGTGAAACAGCCTATGTTCGAATCATACCCAATGGGTCCTTTTAGTACTCTATGCTATTCTCAGAATCCTCATTGGCGGTTTATGCACATTATAGGATGATAGTGATGATTTCTCATGAAAAACTAGGTATAATAATTTTGGTAAAATGCATGCCTCTTTTGTAAATTCATCCATTCGTATTTCTTTCTTTTTTTATGTTTAGGCCTACCCCTGTTTACAGGAGGCAGGTAAAGATTATATTACTGCAGTATTACGAAAACATTCGAGAGAAGGCGCTTATAAATTTACGAATTGCTTATCCAACATATTCATTCATGAACGACAGGCGTCCTATACTACTACTACTACTACTACGGTGTAGTCGGTTTGTCGACATTTGACCGCCACGCCCACTGACAAGACGCCGAATTGAAGTTGAAGGAGTGTGGGTGGTAAAAAGATAAGAAATCACGGTTATCAAGAGGATGTACAGTGCTGCACTTTATATGAAGCTTCTCCTCATCCAACACTAGAAAATAACTAACAAATAATGAAAGCAGTGTACCCTTACACCCTAAATACATATCTATAATATTATATAATTACAAAATATTTTAAATGAATGGGCATTCCGATCTCACAAACTTACGCCTGGATGGCGATAGTCTACTTATGCACAAAAGAAGCGGCATCGTGTGCGACTCGAACACCGGCAGTTGTTGGCCTAGGCTAGTAAACATTAATTCCAAGCACATTTCTCTTTCCAAGAGTTCAGACATGGATCTGGTGGATAATTATACATTTAATAACAATCAGGGGAAGAAAGAAATCAATCGCCCGACACTTACTGTTCAGTTGTAGTTTGACCACCTTTGGCAAATCCATGATATATTCCAGTTGCTGCAGACACAAACACCACGAATCCAAGAATAACGTAATCGAGAACGCCTAAATAATTTATTGTCTGGCCGTCTCCTGGATCAATAGTGTCGTTCACCATTTTATCAGTTTCTCCTATCAATGTTGTAGTGTACTGTTTTATGAAAGAGTGTTTCTTGCTCAGATGCAATGGTAGTGTGTTGACTTGCCGTGGAATTTACTTCGTCTAGGCCTACCTACGTTCAGTCGAGAACATTCATAGCAGTCAGTCAATCGCACGTACGAAGGGGGAGGGCGGTGGCATCCTTCAACGTTGTATGTTGGCCTCTGATTGGTCAATCCTTCTGATCGGTCAACAATCAGCTCAGCTAAAGCTGCGCGTTGAAAGTCATTCATAAAAACAAAGTTCAAAGAACCGACGTGTTTAGCTGCTGCTTTTTTCTGTTTCATTAGTTAAAGTAGCATTCACTCGCAGAATTTTATTATGGTATTTGTTATAGGCCTCCTGTAGTTTTACATTAGTTACCATTTTTAAGAACATAACACAATAACACTCTGAAATATATAAATCGATATTCATTTCAGAGTGTTATTATTATTATTGGTCTTTGTAGAGATCTATGTTTTTTGCGCTTTACAAATCCAAATTATTATTATTATTATTATTATTATTATTATTATTATTATTATTATTATTATTATTATTATTATTATTATTATTATTATTATTATTATTATTATTATTAGCACGTATTGTGCTATATATTGACTGTTCTCAGTCTGCACTGATTATTACAGTCAAGTTCAGGGTCAAACACTCGGTGGGTGGTGCTCACTGAAGTAAATTGGGAACAGTAATTAGGCCCCATAAAAAAAATATTAGTTTATCACCGTCTCAAAGAATAAAAACTGATGAGGGAGAGAGTTTTTTTTTTCTTTTCTTTTGCTGCTAACCCCGCCCCCATTTTACCGATGTTCACAAGTTAATCAATGGTTAGGGAAGCATATATAAAAAGTTATAAGAATGGTATCAAATGTATATTTAAAAATATGTTTTTGTTGTACAAGTAAACATATTTGCAAGAAATCCTAAGCTTTTCAAGTGAAAAAAGATGGAAAAACGACCGTTTGAAATAAAAATACTGTGTATGTTGATTGGAGAAAAAAAAATTCCCCAAAAGTGATGAGGGAGGGGTGTGATAAACTAATAATTTGTTTATGGGGCTTACAAGCACAAAGACGTTTACTATATACCTCCATGCCCAAAGACAAAGAACCTTATGAAAATCATAACTGAAGTTACAAATTATGATAATAATTAATATCTTTTTATTTGTTTTCGTTTTTTCTGTGTTTTCTTTTTATAGGACAAATCGTTCTTTAAAAATGTTATTTCAAAATTGGTAGGCCTAATCTCTAATATCGCCTGCAGCCAACGCAAATAGGCCTACTTTGATAAAAAAGAAAAAGAAAACAAAACAAAAACAGAGCAGGCGAGGACGAGTCACGGAGCCCGGGGGCAAGTATGTCCTAAGTGTCATGGAAGTGGCAGAGGGGACAATGTTTGCGTGAATGGAAGTTAAAGCTGAAAAGAAATTTGCAATGTCAATATGAATGTTTTCAGAATGTTTTTATTGCTAGTTTATTGTATCCTTTTACGAATCCGAGTGTAAATGCGTACGGTAGTAGAGTGCTGGCTGCTTGTAAGATGGGCTTTGCCCCTCCCTCAAGTTCCCCCTCCCATGGCTACGCCACTAAACTCAACCAGAGGTTTTGCGTATATTCAAAGTGTAGAAAACTCCATGGTCGAAATGACTGCTGCTCCATTTTAAAACCCCACGTATAGCCTATTAATAGGGCCACCGTATTCAGACCTGTCAACCCGTATACGCATTCGCGTAAGTCTTACGCATTCCAATCAAATCTTACGGTCTTACACAAACACCGGCAAAACTTACGCTTGTCCTAAAATTTCAGTAAATTTGGTTTCTTTTTCAATTTGTAATGAATTTTACTGTAAGTAACATCCATCATCATAAAATTTTACCTCCATGTTTCAATAACTACGGTACTGTATCTGAGATCATTATAGCATAAACTCACTAATATCGATTAGATATGCCATTTAAACCAAAGCGTCCAGGGGCCTTCGACCGGAAGTCCTTGGCGGACCACTGGCCCCCAGTCACTGCTCCTGCCTTCGGCAATTATTGTGTCACCCGATCTTACTCTTTGAAATTTCTCAAGGTTGACAGGTAGGCCTATGCGTATTTATTCGAATAAACGCAACGCCCGTGGATTTTATTGCTGAGAATGGTTTTAGATGGGGATTAAAATGGATACGGAGGCCTATACTCAAATAAACTACTGGAGTACAACAATTAATAAAACGTGTTGAGAAAGGCCATTAAATTTGTTTACAGTCAATTATTCAAGGGAGGCGTTTATTCAAAATGAGGCTCAGACTAGAGGGGGCGTTTAATCGAGGCATTGGCGTACGCCTATGCGCTCTCGTGCGGCAGTTCGCAACTGATCATCAAGCCGCCCCCACCCCTTCACATTCGCGCCCCCTATCAGCCTCCCCATTCAAGACTTCTAGATACGCCAATGATATCAAAAGTTGGAACAGTACCATAAGGTCATTTCGACAGATTTGTATTTTGTAATACTATCCTTGCAAATGATAAATATTTTAAACATTATTTTTATTGTTATTGCTTTATTTTTTTTTTATCAGGTGAGAAATCAAGTCATGAAGATTAACAATTATTAGACCTATGATCTGATCTTGCGTCAGTAATGGCGCTCTCCTTATATCCTGCCTGATTATAGTTCCGACCTAGAACTCCGACCAATCAGATTGCTATGACTCTGATAACGCAGCGCATACCCTCTCAGCGCGCGCCCATACGCAAAATTATGACGTGGACAAGAGGACCTAATACTGTACTATATTATGGAATTGATAAACAGCATGCTTGGAGTGTATATTAATTAAATTCTAAAGGAAGCATTATCCAAACACATATGCAAACAACTTGGTCGTGCATCACATCTGTTGCTCCACGTCACCATTTTTAAACAGACGTTAATGTAGCATTGATGCAAGCCGACACCCAAATACCTTGTTGATTGATTATTTATTTATTGATCAATATTGATAGACTATCTGACTGTCGTACTAACCGATTAACTGATTGACTGAATAAATGATTGATTGATTGATTGATTGATTGATTGATGGGCCTATCGATTGATTAAGAGCCTCAGCAATCATGAAATCGTTCAACTGATGATGGCGGAATGTGCAACAGATAAACATGATATTACAGGTCTCCCTCTAATTTAATACCCCTCCAATTAAATACCACCTCTAATTAAAGACCACTTTTCTGTGGTCCCAAATTAACAAATGTCTTTTATCTTTATTTTAATAACAAACCAAAGCTGCTGAAGACCATGGAAACCCCGGTCCCAAAAGTGGCCATTAATCCGGAGGGAAACCTGTACTTATTTTTTTAGATAATTAAAATAGATTACCCATAAAACATACATCATGTTGAGAATCTTAGAGATCAAAATGTTGTGATCAATTAGTGTAAAACTGTTTGTTTTTTGGGGGTTTTTTTTGGATAATTATATTTATTTTCATAATCTTAATATCAATAATAAATAATAATAATAATAACATTAATAATAATAATAATAAAAATAATGATAATAATAATAAAATAATAATCGATATGCCCTTTTAAATTCGTTATTGAAATAAACTGTAATTGATAAATCTATGTTTGCCATGATTATCACTATTGGTTCTTCGTTTGAGGAGTTATCTTCCAGTTTCTCGTCTGTATTCAATTAAGTATAATTTGGAAATGTCTATTTACAATTTTTTTTTTTATGTCAGGTTGTAGACGCATATGTCAACCCCTTCAATTGTGAACCAGCTGTTGCACAGTGTATCGATCCGAGTTAGCAGAACTGATCATAATAGCTTCGCATCTCAAATGCAATGCTAATTTGAATAGGTCCTAAACAAGTGTATAATATTAAGTAGGCCTATACTATAAATTTCCCTTCGGTCTAATAAAATATTTATGTTTATGTATGATACGTATGTATATATAAATCGATACTTTTACCATTTTATGTATGTACCATATTACCATGAGTAGAAAGAAATCGGTATAAACACGTTTTACCGGTATAGGCGTAGGTTTGAAAAATATACACTGGGCTAGGCACTGAAAACATTATTGTACGTTGTACGTAAATATAAAATACCAGCAAATAAAACATTCATTTACAGTATAAGCAAAATTTATTCTCGTTTATTATGGTTTATTAGGTAATTATTCCTATCGTTACGACCGGAAACTGCTCATGTTTCCCAAAATTTTCGGAGTACAGTGAAATGGAATAAAATTATACAGTAACAAAACAAGTAGGCCTATAAGATCGACAGGGAAAAATCCGATCCACGACCATGGTACGCCGCCCATGCTAGGCTGTCGTTTCGCGAACTCTATTATAACTATAAATACATTCACGGTACAATGATAAAAAATATTTATATCTAATCATTTTCAATTAAAAATAATTCGTTAGTTATCGAACAATATGATACATGTTTAAAGAACGTCAAGTGTAATGTTAAACAAGGTGGAAGGAACAGGACACGGTAGTTTATAAAATATGTTTTCCATCAAAATATTTTTATGAAATGAGGATGATAAGGATATATAATATGTTTTAAAAACAAGTTTTATGTGTTTACATTAAATTCGCTTTTAACTTCATGAACTTTGAAAACAGCCCGTCTGTCGCCAGATAAAGTAGTAGGCCTACATGCTTGTGATGTGAGTTGTTTTGGTTGGAAGCCAAGACCTAAAAGCTCTGTCGAAATATATTTTATAAAATAGCTCCATCTGTGATTTACCTTGGAGTGATGATTATGACATTATCATTCCAAATATGGGCAAATCATAGATATGCAACACAAGCTCAACGGTTTATATAGAGTTTAAACACAAATTAAATAAAGCCGTGTTCCTCATCCTCTTGTATTATCCTTTGACGCCTTTTCCAGTGGCGTATCTAGGGGGGGGGGGGGGGGGGGGGGGGGGGGGGGGATACATTTATCCCAAAAGACTTTCCCCAGTCTCTCCCACTGGACATTTTTGAAGCCAAAAATAATAATTAAAAAAATAGGCCTATGCTAAAGTAGTTAAAAATCAATTCATACCTCCTTATTTTTCTAGATAGCACCCCTCATTTTATCTTCTATCCGCCCCACCCATTTCAATACCCCTAGATAAGCCACTGGCCTCTTCTATTTCTCCTTTTGAACTTACACGAAGATATGATGAAATTATGCATACATTTTAATCATTATTAAATACCGGTACAGAAGCTACGCGTACCACAGCCATTCATGGATGTAAAGCTCAGGTGTATTTTTATTATGAATCTAAAATACGGGCACGGAAATAATTAATGACGGCATTTCGTGAGAGAGACTTTAATGAGTAGGTAGGTCTAGTAGGTACCTAGGTACAGGTACTAGTAATACCAATTCATCATCATAGCAAAATTCACAAGCTTGAGAAGTATGTAATCCAACTGCAGCTGCAGTGTAAACATTTATCATCCCATCTGTATAATAGGCCTACCCTCCACATTGTAAACACTCTATGATCTTATATGAAGTGTTCTGATATTCGCAAAATCAAATTGACCGACAAATGGTTTTGAAGTAGGCCACGCGCTTAAGTGATTTCTATTCGTGCTTTATGCGACTTTTAAGGATAGTTGCGAGAATGATATCATGTATTATATAATCCGGTTTACACAGCTCCTTTATTCAAGCCAAGGACATAGGTCCTACATCGAGTACTGTATGCCTTCTTCAAAGCTCTAGAAAAAACAACAATTAATTCTGAACTCACAACATCGGATCCGAATTTCCGATCGGAAAGCCTACCGAACTAATCAGAAAATCGAATCAGTATATAAAGCCCTGTCCAAAAAAAACATGCGATTTTCCAAAAATAAGGTCATGATGACATCACTTATTGCAGGGATGGCGCCAGGATTTTCCCGACGGGGTGGGGGTTCCATTTTCCTAGAGGCTGTCCAATGTCGCCGACCAGAGAAATGTGGGCGTGGTCGAGTGTCGCTCAAAATCTCTCGAGTGTGCCAGTTTCTGTGGGATCCAATGTAAATGCAGCTTGTCTGTAAAATGGTTACGCTATCGGATTCTGATCAGAGTTTTAGTTTGACAGACAATCTCTCCCATCCAGATGTTTCTTATAATTATATTGGACACCTTTTTCATCAAATCATCATACTGATCAACAAACCAAACCTTCGAATTGAAAACCCAGAATCCTTTGCGCCTAAAACAAGAGCTCTTCTCAAATTCTCCTGGATCCCACCAGGCGTCATGACCAACTGCACCCTTGGCTCTCATATTGAACCCCGATCCTTTAAGGATTTCTAGCTGTTACGGACATGAATTGCTGCAAGAATTTGCAGTCTCCAGTACAGACTAGTCTCACGGTTAAAATTGTACAGTAGGAAAGCCACTGGAAAAATCGTGTCGAATTTCGCCTAGGAGAGGGCGTCCTATTTTTCGAAATTAGTTCAAATTTTCAGAATTTGATGGTGTTTGAAAAAACGTTAATTCATCAAGTAACTTACTTAACAAAACAAACATAATAGTGAAATAAGTTTATAAATAGTTTAACAATATAGTGAAATATTTTTAGTGTATTTGGACCGAAACCATAAAGAGTAATTTAATAGACAATTCGTGGTGCACAATTTTTACGAGTTTTTGCTTTAGTAATTCGCGAATTTAAAATACAAAAAAATTTTGAACAGTAAAGCATTTAAAATCCCTGCTGTAAAAATTTATGATCTATAATTTAAAATATTAAGATGAAAAATCGAGCCCCGGGGACGCAAATCCGACTCTGGAAACTAAGGGTGTCTCCATTTCGTTGCACTCGAAAACTAGCGTGTACTCCATTTTGTAAATATCGGCGATCGTACTCGGGAAGATCGTAATATACAGAACATTCCGAAGACCGTGTGCTACACAAATAATTAATTTGTATGAAATAAATATATACCCTCAGATTAAATATTATTAAGTATGTAATCTTCTAACTCAGTAATTTATAGACAATATTACAGTTTGTCTCTATTTGATTCGTATGCGAGGCTGAGGCCTAAGCAGTGGACACATGGGGGGCCTA